CTCAGGTCACGAAAAAAAATATTCATTCATTAATTTAGGATATCGCTCGTTCACCAGCATTTATTCCATTAGTATCTGTTGAAGATGTTCAAGCTATACGTGCTATTGATGTACATCCAAGTGGAAAATATTTTGCTGTTGGTTCAAATTCAAAAACACTTCGTATTTGTGGATATCCCGATATAAAAAATATTCGTACAGATACTGTAACACAACCAGCGAAAGTTTTCTATAAAAAAGGCAAACATCATTTGGGTAGTATTTATTGTATAGCATGGTCACCAAGTGGTCGAATTATTGCAACAGGATCAAATGATAAACTTATTAAACTTGTTCGACTTAATATGGATAGATTAGAAGACGAATCAAATCGTATGTAGTAATGAATGTTACAATAAAAAATTGACCTTTTTTTTTCAGATTCAGAAATTGAATTAACACATCATAATGGAACTATTCGTGATCTTATTTTTATGCATGACAGTTTAAAAGATGATTCAATTTTATTAAGTGGTGGTGCTGGAGATTGTAAAGTTTATGTTACAGATGTTAAAAAGCAAACACCTATTAAGAGTTATAGTGGTCATCAAGGTAAAACGATCTATCGAGCTTTTTTAGAATATAAAATCTAACTAGTGTTTTGTTTTATCCAGCATAAGAGTAGCGTCTCTCCGAAGATCGGATTGATCCTCTCGGTAGATAAAACAATGCGTGTAACAGTAGTATGGAAGTATATAGTGAGAAGTTTGAAGCATCTCTGTCTGTACTGATTGGTAAAGGCATGATTTGTAGTGAGATTATTATGTCTTTCTTTCACCTTACAACATCATCATAAATATCTTTTCATCGAACAAACAGACAAATCGAACCATATTGGATGAAATTTCCCTTTTACATTTTTATTCTGTAGAGATTGCTAAAGGCATATTATTTTATCGAACTGAATGACATTCAAGGAGAATCGTGGCTAAAATTCGAGTAATGTTGATAGATGATAAAAAGCAGATGATGACAACATCATAGCTGCTGATATATATATTATGAGACTCGATTGTATGCCATCTAGACAAGATATGATTGACGAACTGAAATAAATCCTTGCTCTTTTCATTATTTATTAACAGAACTATTAATGCTTTCTAGAAAATAAAGTTTTCAATGATGTATACATTTTTTTGAATGAAATTTATCAAATATTTCAAATACATTATTAATTATTTAAGGTCATATATATTCATTGTTTACATGGGATGCATGCAGTTTTGTATCGGGTAGTCAAGATGGTACATCACGTTTATGGGATATTCGTCAACCAAATTGTGTTAACGTCATTGCACCTCGTCCTTCAAGTATAAATAGATATTAAATTAAAATAATTTAGTAATACAAATTTGATTTTCATATAATAGATAGTGCAGTTTCAGCAGTAGCTGTTGATAATTCTGGTCAATTATTAGCAGCCGGTTATGAAGATGCTTCATGTTTACTTTATGATTTACGTGGAAAACGTGTTGTACAAGCGTATCAACCACATTCAAATGAAATTCGAAGTGTTCGTTTTTCTGTACATTCATATTATTTACTTACAGCTTCATATGATAAAAAAGTTGTTATGACAAGTTTAAGTGGTAAGAAAATGCAAAAAAGTTTAAATATTTTTTTTGAGTTATTTAATTTTATTACAAAAAAAAAGGTGATCTTACTAAACCATTGGTTTTATCAAGTGTTGCTGCACATATCGATAAAATTATTCAAGCTCGATGGTACGTCAAGTTTTTTCTCTATGGATGTTTAATGAATTTTGTTTTGTTTGTTTGAATAATTTAGGCATCCAAATGAAATGTCATTTGTTACAACAAGTGCCGATCGTACATGTTTAGTTTGGGCCCCACCTCTTTCAGCTTTATCTACTCTTGCACAGTCACCATAAACAAAAAACTAAACCTACCGAACAAAAATCGATGTTTTAATCTTATTTGCGTTTTTAGTTTTCTTTTTTTTCTTGTTCTTGTAATTCAATATGAATAATAATTCGAACAAAAAAACACACACAGAAAAAGAAAGAATTTGGATCGTTTTTTGTTTGTTTGTCTTATTATATTGATGAATTTTGTTGTTTGCTTTTTTTCATCTAGTATTAGTATGGTTCCTCTTCGGCGGAAGCAAACTTTTTCGCTTATCATTTTCTTTAAAAATAATGCGCAAATGTGCCGATAAAAATTTATTTGTTTTATTCAATTGATGTATATTTTTTTTCTTTTTCGTTTGAAATATAAATAAAATAATGATATAATAAATGTATTATTTTGTTTCGTTTTCATTTTTGTTATGCTTGTGATGATGATAATCGATCGAGTAAACGTAATTTTGTAAGAATTGATCGACTCAAATCAGTATTCAATTCCCATAGATTTTCTTCAGTTGTTTGAGTATCAGATTTTTTTTCATCAATTTGAATTTTTAATTTTGTCATACGATTTGAAAGAAATAAAGTACCAAATAGACAAGCTAAGGTTATTGATGTAAGAGTCAAATCTATTATAGATGGCATTATAGACAATAAGAAAAACTAATAATAATCGCGCCTTTTGATAAAATACGTTCAATTGTTGCAGATACAATATTTCACAATGTTTTTCTTTAACAAATCAGTTTTCTAATGTATGCTATAGATTATTTTTATATTTTGAAAAGATATTTACAGATGAAATAAATTCATTCGAAAATAGAGCTTTAGATAAAATGAAGTCGATATTTTTGTTTCAGATGCCGATCGCATTTTATTACGATTTAATGTCACAACCCTGTCGGGCTTTGTATATTTTTCTTAAAATAACAGGTATTCCATTTGAATCGAAAGAAATTGCATTACGAAAACTTGAACATATGACTGATGAATATGCTCAAATAAATCCATTTAAAAAAGTACCAGTCATAGAAGATTCTGGATTTGTTCTTACCGAAAGGTTAAAACAAAAAGAAAATAAAAAGATTATTCTCATCAAATTCTTCTTCTTTTTAGCGTGGCAATTTTCAATTATCTTTGTGATAAATACAAAATGAATGATTGGTATCCAACAGATTTAAAACAACGAGCACGTGTTAATGAATATACTCATTGGCAACATTTAAATTTACGTGCTACTGGCTCAATGCTTTTTCGTACAAAAGTAAAAATGAAAATTTTCGAATTTATGAAATATATAAAAATTAACTTTCCTTAAGATCATTACACCTCGTATAACAAATAAACCACCAAATGAAGATGAATTAGAAAAAAGGTATCAGCTATGGCAAGAATCAACAAATGATCTTGAACGTGTATGGTTAGCTCGATCAACTTATTTAGGTGGTGATCATTTAACAATTGCTGATTTACTTGGTAAACAAAAATGTTGACCAAAAATTAAATCAACAATATAATGATCTTTTTGTATTTAGGTATTTGTGAATTGATGCAACCGATTGCTGCAGGCTATCATTTAGATAAAGAAAAATTTCCTCGTGTTTACGATTGGATGGAAAAAGTGAAAAATGAAACACAACCTTTTTTTGATCAAGCACATGCTATTCCTATGCGTATGAGAGATGCAATAATGGAGAAAGACAAATCTAAACTTTAAACATACAAAAACTACAATTGAATGATTCACTTTTTTTTTGAACTTTTGTGATTTTATTCAGATTTTTGTTTTCCGATTTTATGATTAAAAAGAATATTGATAGAAAAATACTGATTTTCATTTTGGCATTACTCATTGAAAGTACCTCAAGATTCGCCAATCCAAAAGCAAATATATTAATATAGTACGATTCACCAACGAATGTTTTTCTTTTACTTAAAGAAAATATTTTGTAATCGACAAATCTTACTTCAAAAAAAATTGGATAAGATAAAAATTTAGAATTGAAAAGATATGTCTTTCGAGGTCAAAACATAATGATACTCTAATAATCAATTGAAGCATTGACAAAACAAAGAAAAATTTTATTTATTTTCTAATTTTGAGATGTGTAAAGAATTGAAGCAAATGGTTATATTCTATAATTAAACCTTTCCAAACATTCTTCAATTGTACGAGTTGCTTTTGTATTCATTATTCGCAAAGCTTTTCTTTTTGACACATCTCTTCTCGCGTTCGCCTTGTTTATGCGATAGAACGACGAGCGATGGACATAATTGCAATTTGATTTCTTCAATCGTTGTGTTTAGTAAGCATATACACAGTACGGTATGCAAATGGGCTACTATATGAGTGTTTAGAGGGTCGATATTAGGAAGAAATATGTATACATATATATATACACATATATATATATATATACATACGTATATTAATTGTTGCCAAACATATGTTACTATAACATATAATATATTCTCAAAGAAGAAGAAAAAAAAAATTTTAACTTCTGATAATAAAAAAAATGAATAAATGATTGATGAATGGTTATTAACATTTGAAAAGATAGGATATTCTAATCATTTGCATAATTTGAATAATAGTCTCATAGGAAGGTACCAAACAACATTTTATCTTGTTTTCTATCAACGGAAGGAATTTGGAACGAATAGGAATTCTCAGAGTACCTAACCAATGAAAAATCGATCCGTTCTGTAAGTTTATATAAAGGAAAAAAAATGATATCCATTAAGAGAAAAAGAAAAAAGGTAAGGCAGACCGATGAGAAAGAGAAAGAGAGAGACAGGGAGAGAGAAAGAGCAAATCAAATTATCTATCGAAAAGCGATTCACACATATACAGACGGACACACATCATACACATCGTCAAAAGAGACGCGACGACAAGAAACACTTGATTAATTGTTCGAACGGAAATATAATCATAAATATATTTTTCTTTCTTCTCTCTTCTCGTCTAAGTATTAAAAACTAATAACACATTGCTTAAAGATAAAGAGACAATATTTGAGTATTTTATTTTGTGGTAAGTCAATATCATTATTTTAATAAAATAATAGATCTATTTGATTATCATAGTATGTTATTAACATCAGGTTGGTCATTACCATCATCTTCTATCGAAGATTCATCTTTATTGGATGATATAATGTTATCGACTGCAACTACATCAAGTCAACATCAACCAAATTTTTGGTTTCCTGGTAGTCCACTTCCTTCATTTTTTTCCTCATCATCTTCATCAACAACTGGAGGGCCAGATAAAATCTCTTATACTCAACAACCAACAACAAATAAAATTCTTTTTGATTCAAGTGCATGTAGTTCAAGTTCAGGAAGTTCACCGCCTTTATCTAACGATTTTCTTCTTACACGTTCAAATCCAACACAATTACCAACATCACAAACAGCAGCAACATTAAATTTAACACAATTTAATTATATCCAACAAAATCATCATCATCATCATCCATCTGTTGTAACATCAACATCAAATAATTTTCTTCCTCGTGATGATTGGTCACATATACCTATAGCACAAACAACAACTTCGAACACCTCCGCATGGAATACACAACATTCAACGAAAGGTAAAATTTTTCTAACTCATTTAAACCATCCTATTGTATATAGAGAAGAACTTGCTCAATACCTCATTCATAGGTATATACATATATATATTCTCATTCATTCATCCATTCATTCTCTCTGCCTTAATGGTTATTCAATGATTGGAAGGATGATTTATAATATTTGTTGCCGGCGCATTACATTTGCACATTTCTCTTAATGCCATGATGCTCCTTCTCTCTCTCTCTCTCACTAGCTCGTTTTTTATGTAATACAGAAAGGCATTTGACAATAGACTTCCGTTTCTTTTCTTTTTTTGTTTCTTATGTTTTGCTAGAATATTAAAAAAAAGTCATGCCATTATTTTTTTAATATTAAATGACATTTTAAGTTTGATCTAATAGGCAACATTTGTATGAATATGATCGCATCATTTCAGTCGATCGATCAACAGCAGACGTTGCATGATTGAGAGCCAATTTGTCACACAACTTTAATTGGTCTGTTGTATTTTAATCGTTTTTTAACCGCATCAACACATTCGATGGCACCAGCAGTAGAATTGCACGTGCTATGACTTCTTTCTCGTTTTTTTCGTCTTCGATTTTTATACGTGTAAAGCAAAAGGGCGTGACGAGTATCTTTGCCATTGCTCAATTGGTTTGTTATCACATGCATGAACCACCTTTTTCATTTCGCACCTTCTATAGGACATAGATTTTGACTTTTTTTTAATGACATTGACACACACATATTTAATGAGCAGCAAATGACACCTTTTTTGGGGGGAGAGACGGGGGGGGGGAGGATGAGGGAGAAGCAAAATATTTTTTTTACGAAGATAAATCAATTGAGAGGAGATGTAATGAATCGAATCATCTTATGAGAAAAAAAACGGATGCTGAGAGCAATAAAAGATACAAATGATATTGAGAAAAAGCCGCTTCCGTCGATAATGTCAATCATTGTCAATGGACCATTGAAAAACAAAACAGAAAAATATGAACCCTCTTTAAATTTCATTGGAATTTAATTTATTTAAGGAAAAAAAATGTATTTTACATATCTTTATTGATCACAATATGAAAAAATTCGAACAATCAAAAATAGATGATCCTTTTATATTGACATATATCATTAGAAATCTATGACATCACTTTAATGTTAAGGTATAAAGTAAAAAAAAAAAATTAAAAATGATATTGTACACAAGTAACCTATCATTAATAATATTTAAGTCAAGATTTCGTTCTACTGTGATAATCTAATTGATAATTATACACATATGATGATCGATCGAAATGTGATTTTGCGGCAATGCTCCGTGACATTGTCATCAAACGTTTCGAGACACATTCAAATGTGCACTCACACGAAAAGAAGATCAATATGAGTACAATAAACGATGGCATCATCAAGGAGCACGTCAAACTTTTCAATCATTTGTTTTGACTTTTTTTTTTCTCAAGTGTGTTTATAATACACACGCATACAAATGGTTATTAATAAGCCGTTAACTCTGATTGCTGTCTTTTATAAACAAATAATATCTCATGAAAGAAAATATCTATTTAGGTGTTCCTCTTGATAATTCTCAAGTAACAAATTATTCCAGTATGATGGCTGGTAATGAATCAACAAAAGACATGAAACGTAAAAGTAGTCGACCAACATTTACTGGACATCAAATATTTGCATTAGAAAAAATGTTTGAAAATACGAAATATTTAGCTGGAACAGAGAGATCAAGACTTGCTTGTCAATTAGCTATGAGTGAAGCACAAGTGAAAGTAAAAAATCTTTTTTCTTTTTTTATAAATATTGCACTGAATTTTATTTTGTTTTCTAGGTTTGGTTTCAAAATAGGTAGAGAATTTTTGAAAATTTTTATTTAAATTGTTTCATTTTGTTTTTTTAATAATAATAATTAAGACGTACAAAATGGCGAAAGAAACATGCTGCTGAAATTCATGGCCCATCCGGTAAACGAAATAAACAACAAAGAAATGATGGATTAATTCCTTCGATTGAATCAGATTCAAATTCAACATGAATCATTGTGGAAATTTCTTTGCTTTCTCTTTCTTTTAGTGTTTCAACTATTTGTGAAAAAAAAAACTTACTGTGTACATTTATTTCCGTTTGTTACACATCATCTTTTTGTTCAATGTTCTTTCTCGAAATTGAAATTGTTTTTCTTTTTTTTTTCTTTTTCTTTTTTTTTTTTGCTTTTTGTAATGTGTGCGTTTATTATCATCGCATGCATATAGTCATTAATATATTCTATTAGTGGAAATTCATATGAAAACGAAAACAAATGAATCATCGATTATGCTTTGTCATTTTAACATGCAATATATTACTGACTAATTAAAAATATTGATTTATTATCAGAAAAAAATGGAAAGATTTTTAGGGAATTTTAATATGTACATTAGCTTGATCGGTCGCGGCAGGATAATCAAAGATTGACAACTCTTTTTTCGTGTCTCTCTTACAAAGAGTTACTCGATGTTAGAATTTATTCAATGTCAAATAATAATTAATTCAGAATAATTCGTAGTGTCCCACGATCACCACGATTGGAGGGAAGGTGACTACTAAGAAAGTAGGATTCACGATATTGGGATGATTGATCCTTGTTGCATAGGTTGGGGAGCAAAAAGACGAAGAAAATCGTTCGGTTTTGTTGATTAAAAAAAAGCAAACAACTTTTCAAGAGTGGAAACCCGTCTCTACTCAGCACAAGAGCCTGACGAGTCTAAAATTTTCGGATTCGGACCCAATTGAGTCTAGAAGGTTCGAAATCAACCCGACAAGATCTACTCGGGAAATCCCTGAGACTAAAGAAGAACCAAAAATTAATTTCGATGTTTGTTGACATGTTGCTTTTTGGTTGAAAGAAAAGGAGTTTTAATAAATTAAAATGTTTAATTTTTGTAGAAGTTAATTATACATAGGTTAGTCAATAAGTTCTCGGACTTTCAAATATTTGTTCATAGAAAAAACATTTTACTAATCTTTTTACAGTAAATGTTCAAAGTAGTCCCCACGATGTTAAGTACAAAGTTTCATCCTTTTAATCCACTCCTGGAATGTCTTTCGGTATTCTTGAATAGATATTAAATTAAGCTCGTTGGTTATTGCTTTAGCTAAACTTGTAGCATCTGAATATGTATCAAGGCTGCATTTCAGACAATCGAACAACCGAAAGTCTGANTTAATCGGCTTCATTTGTTGCTAAGTAATAAAATTGTAAGAATATGCATTTTAGATGAAAACACTAGAAAATAGTTCAATTTGAATGCTAACTTTATTCATGTATACGATGACAAACATTAATGATTAAATCATATTTTGTGTTTTCTTTTTCGTTAGACGATAGAAGGAGAGAGGGAGAAAAAAATAATAATTTAACAGATCTTTTTGTCTTTTATTCTGCTAGAAGTTGGGTCAATAAATTATACGATGTCTGTTCTTTAGTTGAAAATTTTATTTTACATATCTCAAGAATTTTGCTCAATTGCGTGAATGTTCGTCCTTAGGAAGCAACTCATTGCGAAAGATTTTCATAAAAGATGAATATAAACTTTAAACAATATACTACTTGTATTGAATCGGCATAACGATTTAATCAACCAGCAATAACAATAACGAAAAATCTAAAAGACAGTTTAGTCAATAAGTCAAATGCAAGAAATTAAATTTAAATTAGCTTCCATAACAAATAAAGTCGAATTAACAATAGGTATTGGAAGTACTAGATAAACGACAAGTGTAGAAACTTTGACACAAGAAAAAAAGATATTTATTTTTCGACATTATTTTATTGTCAATGGCAACTAAAACGTGATGTGAACGATGATAATATGTTCATTGATCGAAACAATCAACTCTTCTGTTATGAGTAAAGCAACAAAGTCTCCCTAGTGAAGTGGAGTACTCTTATTTAAACAAATTTATTAACGTTTTATTGGAGGCTGAGCATAAGGGAAAAGCTAAACGCATCAGAAAAAGTTCAATACATTTAATGGTAATAATAAAAAAAAAACATGCCATGAATTAATACAAAAGACATTATGCGATAGATTTTATGTAAATATATGCATAGTCGGTGCGATAACAAAGGAGTAGCTATGATATGACGATTATTCAATTGCGTGACAATTACTTTTTCTTGAGTATATATACTTGTAGCATAGGTTTTCTTAATACTTTAAATGCGGTCAATTCTGACGCATTTTTATTTCCGTTCGCGAGTCCACACAAGATTCAATCGACGAAATACAAGATTCAGCGTTCAGATCAACAATACACAACTTATCAGGATGCTAGTTATGAGCTTGAATTTTGTTATGTTCATGACTTATACATTGCATCAAACACCAATTCATCTAATACAAAAAGCTGTGGCGCATAAAGAATACACAAGAGTCATCTTCAGTTTCTCTTCATTCATGATTTACTTAATGCAAAATTGTACGAAGAATCATTTATTTCATAAGAAAATAATGTTATTTCTGAAGAGTCTAGATCTATTTTCACTTAAAATATTGACAATCACTTTTCTATCATAAACTGATAATCTATACATATAACGTTGAATTCTGTAAATTTACTCATGGCAAAACATTTCGGATTGAAAACAATGTGAATCAGCTACGCATCGTACAGTCACTAAATTATGATATAAATACGGCTCCGAATGAACATAAAAATCATGTGCTCAGTTCATCACTTCTGCTCACTGTTTTTTTCCATATTTTGAAAAAAGAAAAAAAACGACATGGATTTCTAATAGATTTTGAAAAATCGAAAGAAAAAACTGTAAAATCAAATGCTTTTTTATTTTTTTCGAGGAAGACTTCGTTAGATAAAGAAATCTGAATTTCGTTTAGACATCATTTTTTTTTTCATTTCCGAATGTTATATAGCAGACATCAATAAGAAACCATAAGATTTAAATAAAAAATAATAACATATCTTGGAATCAGGATAAAAACATGAGTCGACTGACACATGTTTCAAAGTTTTTAATCAAGTTAGTTTTTCTAGAAACACAATCGACAAGCATTTGGTTTCGTAGTTCCGCTTTCGAACTTTCAGAATCAGTCAAAAGCCGTTTTTGTTTGTTTTGTTACTCAAGATATTGAGAAAACAGTGAACAGAAGTTATAAATTAAGTGCATGATTTTCATACTCATTTGAAACTATATTTATATTTCAATGCAGTAACACTTCAACTTTTCGAACTAAAACTTCTATTAAAGATAGACTATAGAATGGATAGCCGATTGACATAGTTTTCGATTCAAAATAATGTGACATGAGAAAATTCATAGAGCTCCACCTTAAATGTGTAAATCAGCCATTTATGATAGAAAAATGAATGTTATTATTTTGAGTGAAAAATAGATCTAGATCTTATAAATATAAGTTTATTTTGTTACGAAATGATTCTTCGTCAAACTCAATACTAACCAAGTTACGAATGGAGAGAAACTGAAGATTGTTCTTTTACGCACCTGTTCATTCTCTTGGGCATAAATGTAAACACAACTAGACGAGGCAAAAATAGTTCCATTGACAATCGTTAGTCCAAGACAACGAAAACTTTAAATTCTCTTGATTTGGTCGCTTGAACTGGACATGTAAGCTATTTGAAAAGTTCTTTTTACAACTTATGCCGATTTCAAAAAAGGTGCATGGATATTTTTTGATATTCTTCTCGATAGAAACAAGAGAGAGCATTGCGGTTTTCACCATTGGAAAGAGGAGATGAAGTCGCATCAAAATTATATATTACAAATTCTCCGAAGATGCTTTCTGTAGTTTTTTAATCAAACTTATTTTTAAAAAATGTCGAAAAAGTGGTTCCTTTTAACATAAGAAAAGCGCATAAATCTGATTTTTTCTCAGTAATTGCTTAAAAAATCGACTAAGGATTTCGACTAGAATCTCTATGACTCCTGAACAACTAAATCTAAAAAAATTGAGACTTGTACAGTTTTGTAGATCTTGTATTAGTGGTTTGAATGCACACCTGATGATTGAAAATGCAGTATATAGGCTACCTCACAGAGTACGTTGGTTTTTCATAAAGACCGACTGAAAACCTTAAAAATCCAGATCGAGCAAACTTGTAATGTACTATTCGATGCGTCTCCATCTTCTCTTTCTCAAGGTGAAAACTGCAGCTTTCTCTACCTTGTTTCTATCAACAAAGTTATTAAAAGAATTCTCACTCACTTTTATTTTAAACTGACATTAATTCAGAGAAAACTATGCACGAATAGTGTGCGAACAAACGTTCGTCTTAGAATAAATTGTGAAAAGTACATTACATTCAGATATATTATGTTTTTGTCACGCTTTAGATTGATGATCGATTTAATGGATTTAAAGGAGAATGTTCAGTCGAAGTAGATATGTGAAATTTCTTCTGTAAGCTTCAAACTATGTTTTCATTTTGAAGAGTAAAATCCATTCATCGAAAAATCGACTGTTAATCAGTGTATGAATCGGATACTGGTAAAGATTCAATGTATTCTGCTCTAATGAATTTTATTATTCCTATCTTACACATAATGGTATATTGTAACCGTTAAAATGTTCTATTTTAAATCGCCACATCGATTATTTGCGACATCTATTACCGATTATTAAAAAAAACTCATTATAATTGTCATTGGTCCTTCTCTAGCATGTCAATTTTGCGTTTTTCACATCAGCATCCTCGGCTAGATTGAAATTCCATTTGACGTCACTCATCATGACGAGATCTATGAATCAGCCGATGTGTCATGTTTGTTTTCATTGCAGATGAAATTTTTTTACTTCAAGAACGAAAATTTTTAAGAAGACAAGATCAATTTATAGTCATTTTTATTGATTGCTTCAAGTTATTATAATTGATTTGCTCAAAATTTTAGTATGGAAGGTGAACAACCGTACAAAATTCAAAATGATTATCATCAACGAGCTGCTGGTTTTCTTCGTCAAGCACTTGAATTTGACGAACAATCAAGTATATGTTCATTTGAAGAATAATATTTTCTCTATGAATTTGATTTGATTTATTAGATAATAATGAAATGGCTATTCTATTATACAAACAAGGCATACGTGAATTAGAAAAAGCAGTAAATTTAAATGTTGATTCTAAAGGTAACACATTCATGATAATTACTTTCGTATACATATATATATATAATTAATAGATACTCGTGCCGTGGAACTGCATGCAAAAATGCGCAAAAATTTAGCTATGGCTCGTGAACGAGTGCATATTTTACGTGAGTTTATCTTTTCTTTATTATCATAGGTTTTATCAATCATTTGTTTTTTTAGAGAATTCAATTCGTAAAGAGAATGCAGTACCACCAAAAGCTCAGGCTATTCCAACAAAAGCTCAGGCTATTCCAACAAAAGCTCATCCTATTCCAACGAAAGCTCTACGTCCTACGCCTCCTCGTAAGATCGCTTCACCACCTCCAGTATGTATAGCATTTTTTTTTGTGTTAATTAATACTGCTTGTGTTTCCAGTGTGCTTTACCTAAATTTTGCTATCGTGCTTTGTTACCTGCTATTACTTCTTCTTCATCATCAAACCGTGTAGCACTTAAGCCAAAACAGGCACCAACACATGCAGTTAGTGTGAAAAATATCATTTGATTAATTTATTAATTAATTGTTTATTTATGAGAGTTAAATATATATAAATTGTATTTAGGCTGGAAAAAAAGAACTACCATCAAAATTAGATGATAATGCAGCAGCTGCTCAAAACAAACCATCTTTACTCAAATTACCTAATGTTGAAAAACAACTTATTTCATATATTCTTGATGAAGTCATAGAAAATAAACCTAATGTTAAATTCACTGATGTTGGTGAGTGATTTTATTACGTCATAAAGACCAAAATAGTCCAGTTTAATCTTTATGTAAATGATGCTAATACATTCTATAAAATAACTGTTACGACTTTTTTCAATATAATGCGGTACAACATCTTTAGTTTTCTTTAATCTTTTATAAACATGTCCATTTAACCGTTTTTCCATAGAATAGAGTCCACCAGATTGGTCTTGGGACTGACCTCGACAAACTCTAGTCGTCTGAGAAATGTTTAGAGTGCGCTAGTCACAGAATACAAAAAACTGGAAAAAAGTGTCTCACATCTTCAAGGTGACTATTCGATTCCGATTAAGAGATTTTATTGAGAATATCAAAGTAAAATTTGACTGAATCTTGCTAGAGTCTACTGAAGAAAATTTGCTTGAAATTCTTGCTTGGGAATTCTACTTGTCTTCTGACCTATTATTCATATAAATTCATGACTATATACAGGTTTCATGTTTTTCTCTTATCAAAGATCACATTGATCAGTATAAAAAAAAAAAAGCATTTTTGAATTTCGTTCAACATAAACTATTACTCCATTTATCGCTACTCGCAAAATATTAGATTTTCGATTTATGATTATAAACAGATAGAATCATTTTAGAAAAACAATACCGTTTTTTTCTTATGTAAATTTATTTCTTGTAAGATTAAAGTGTACCAATGTGTATAATTGCCAGTCTTAAATAGCGAATCAAACAATATAAGGACATCTTTTTATTATTATGAAAATTATAAAACAAAGCAATTCTTGATTAATCAAAAGATGAAACGATAGGATAACATAGATTTGCTAATGCTATACAAATGAAAACATCATATTTGAGAGCAAATATACATAAAAAAGACGAAATAGTAAATGGAATTTTAGTATAGAAAATAACAGAGATCAACATAAGAATAGTGTTTTATGGGAGGATTGATAATGTCGAGTGATAGAATAATGATATCGAATCTGTTTGCCGAAGACATGAAGAAAAACAAGTTGATTGGTAGTCAAATGAAGATTAAGCATAATAATATCAACAATGCAATAATAAATCTTTGTTAAGAAATATAAAAGAAAAAAGAAAGAAAGATGATTGAGTGTGACAATAAAAATTTAATAACTCAAATCCCATGACAATAATGAATATAAAAAAATTCTCTTAAACTTAGTTAAATGTTTATTAGTTTTATATTTGAGATAAGATCAATCAAAATGATAAGCATATTTTATTTCATCATTATACAAAACAACTTAAGTTATTCTTTTATTTATATAGACGGTCAAGAAAAAGCCAAACGAGCACTTGAAGAAGCCGTTATTTTACCTGTTCTTCGACCCGAAGTAAATTACCTTATTTAAATAAAACGAACAATAAAAAGAAATTTTATTCTCTCAGATGTTTACTGGTCTACGGGCACCTGTACGAGGTATTCTATTATTTGGACCCCCTGGCAACGGCAAGACAATGCTAGTAATTGATTATAAATTGTTACATAATTATTTGATTTATTTATCCTTTTTCAAAGGCAAAAGCTGTAGCTTCTGAAGCAAAAGCTCGTTTTTTCAATATAAGTGCATCTAGTTTAACATCCAAATATGTACATAATAATCTTTTCTTTGATTTTATGCATACTTATATTTGCTATTACATCAGGTTGGTGAAGGTGAAAAACTTGTTCGAGCTTTATTTGCTGCTGCTCGTGAATTACAACCATCAATTATATTTATTGGTTCGTTTATATTCTAATTCACTATAATATCATTTATTTTATATATATTTTTTCTTATAGACGAAGTTGATTCATTACTTACTCAACGTAAAGAATCTGAACATGATGCAATGCGTCGATTGAAAACTGAATTTCTTGTTCAATTTGATGGTGTATGTTACAAAAATAAAAGGAGTAAAATCAAATTTAAAATATGAATTGAATTTTTAGGTTCAAACAAACAGTGATGATCGTATTCTTGTTCTTGCTGCAACAAATTGTCCATTTGAATTAGATGATGCTGCATTAAGGTAAAGTCGTCAAACAATATTTTTTTTTTTTGTTAAATCTCTATTTATTGTCTTTTAGACGTTTTCCTTGTCGCATTTATATTCATTTGCCAGATTCAAGAACACGTAGACATCTTTTAAAACATTTACTTACTAAACAAGAACATAGTTTAACTTCCAGTGATTTCGAATGGATTGCTAAGTGAGGCATTGATTTTTTTTTTTTTATTATAAATATTAAGAAATTTTCTTTAAGTGAAACACATAACTACTCCGGTAGTGATTTAACTGCATTAGCCAAAGATGCTGCAATGGGACCAGTGCGGGAATTACGTGTTGATGAATTAAAACAATTATCTATTAGCCGTATTCGACCAATATCGCGAGAAGATTTCGTTCAAGCATTAAGAAAAATTCGACCAAGTGTATCACCATCAACACTTGAAAAATATATCACATGGAATCGTACATTTGGTGATTGTAGTGCATAAAGTTATGTTTTTTTTTCTATGGCTTATATGTAATTATTGAGATTCTTTGTTTTTTTTCGATCGTCTCTATTTTTCTTGTTCTATTTACATCTAGTCACGTATTTCATATGAAAATTTATGTTCACTAAGCATATGTATAGAAAAATGCAAAAAAAAAAAGGAATTACTATATGAATGAAGATTTTTTGTTTTTCTGTCAGTTGTTTAATTTTTCTTTTCTGAGATTTATTATTCCTGATGAAACAGATAAATACTGTGATTTTTCATTGTTTATGTAATATATCTGAGTGTTGTAGTTTAATTTGTGACGTTGTATGACACAATGACGACGAGATCGAATGTAGTGCAATATGAATCTAATTTATCGACAAATTGCAGCAACACCGACCTAATCGCATTGGTTATTTCGTTTTTTTTTTTTTGTCAATATATTGACATGAGCGAAAGAAAGAAAAGAGAATTTTTCGTAATATTTCATTTTTTGAAAGAAAACGAAGATCGAGAGGAAGAAAGAAATCCAATATAAATACATAAAAGAACGAGAAAAAAGACTAATTACATGTAGGATGATTACGAGCTGTTGGCGTGGCACAAACGCCTTTTTCCCGATTACTTACGGAATATACCCAGATATCTTTTTCTGTTATTTTCTTTTTTCTTTTTAATCCATCTGCTAATCCCCATAATGTTCAGGTAGTGCCAAATAAAAAATAGAGAATCTTCTTTACCTATATACAGATGATGTCATGACTTACCCTTTTACAATACTCAAAAAAAAAATACACATGGCACGTATCGAAACAGGACACGAAGATATAGAGTAAGAAAGACATAGGCGTACGCAAGTAAACTGGATTGTAACAGAGCAAAAAAAAAGAGAGAGCGTACAAAAGAGACAGCATAGAGCACTCACCACTATTCAAATCAAAAAATAAAAACGAAGAAAAGAAGAAAGAGAACGACAACGGCAGAAAGTAGCATACCTGTACACACCATCATCATCAGAGTAGAGACAAGAGCAGCAATTGAAATGAAAAAATATACATATGCACACATTGTCGTAGCAACGATTATGACGACGATGACAATAACAACGTCATGCAAGGTCTTTAAGCAAAAATCTTCCTTGTCTAATGTATAACAAAAGAGAAAAAAAAGAGAACTCGTTTTCGTCTTCCTTCTTCTTGCGCTACTATACAGAAGACAAAGAAAAAAGAGCGGATAAGAAAAAAATATATCGACGTATGTATATATATATATATATGTATATGCGTGCATTTCTTGCTCCATCTATATAAGCGTGCGTACGAGTGCACAATTCTGTAGCTATCTCGTGGTATTTATGACATATACGTTCTACTCCTTGATGATGGTCAAGGTGCAGGAAATGGAGAGAGAAAAAGAATGAATGTTGACTCGTAGAGATTGATTATAAAAACTAACTGTGCTCATATTTATATAACTATCAGTCGTATTGTGTTGTCAACTCAATTAGAAACGAAGATGAAATTCTATTTAGTCGTGTAAAGAAAACTGATGTGATAATTACCTTTATGAATATATATCCAACTCTCTCTCACATACCTTCCAAACGAATGACTGAGCTTTATATGGGTATGTAAAATGAAAATATATTTCATCGCACTTTCTCTCTCCCTCTATTCTTTCTCTCTTTTTTCTAATTATACGAACTCTCATTCTCTCTTTCACTCTCTGTGTGTGCATAAACAGACACAATACTTCAATTGTAACTAGCTATGCGAGAACGAACAAGTATTGAGAAGACTTTTAAAAAGAATTTCTTTTACGTCTGAGAAAAGGTTGTCACATTCAAGTACCTTTCTCTTTCTCTCTAGTTGTATGTGTAATCAAACAAAGAAAAGAGAGTGGGAAACAAAGGGTAAGGCAAAAAGCGCGAGTGAGAGAAAAAAATTGATTTTTTTCTGTTGCGCGGAAAACGCCATAGCGGTACCTCTCAAGTTCTCTCACTTGTTCTCTGATTGAGCTGAACTATGTAAACAAAGTAAAATGAGAGAGTATGCATGTATGTATGCCGTTGTCAATGACACAAATGAAATCACCCTTGGAGGCATGTTGATTCTTTTATATACATTCGAAATGAAATCATCCATCGCCCAACACATTTATACTATTGAAGTAGAAGAAGGTGCTCTAGAAGAATGGAAGGAAGAGAGAGAGAGAGAGAAAGAAAGCTCTTGAGCATAAAGAAATGAATGCTGGAAGATGTTGAATGAAATTATTATGAACAAAAGAATGAGATGAAAGTTGTTTTGTAATCAAATGATATGGAATAAAATGATGACTACCTTTTTAGTTTATTGTAGACAATAGAATAAAGATGATTTTAATTTATTCAGCTGAAAAAAAAAGTGTTTGAAAAGTTTTTTAATAAAAAAAACTGTCTATTTTTATGATTGCAAAAAAGAATTTCGGACGAATGATTTACACTATAGGAGATATTAATAACAGAAATTTGATGATGTATAAACGATCAATAATAAAAATAAACATTAATTTTATAATGATATTTTTTTTATAAAATGAAAAATGAATTTTGATTTATATTCTTTTAGACCATTTATATGGGATTGATTTTTTTAACAATTCAACGACTTTTTTCTGTACGTTCGTGTACGAATATTATATATATCTTTAAAATATATAACTTGTTCTGCTTGTTGTTTTTCTTATAGTTTCAACAATGTCTGAAAAACTTTCAAAAAATCTTTGCACATGCCAATCACTTGAACCTCGTCATGATAAATTAATAATTTATCAAATACTTGTTCGATTATTTGGAAATCGAAATTTAACAAATATTGTTCATGGAACTATCGAACAAAATGGTGTTGGTAAAATGAACGATATTAATGATGCATGTTTAAATGAATTAAAAAAATTTGGTTATACACATGTTTGGTATTGTGGACTTCTTGAACATGCAACATTAACTGATTATACAGCATATGGAATTCGTAAAGATAATCCTTATATTGTCAAGTAATGAATGATTTAATATATTTTCTTTGTTATGATTCGATGAATTTGTTTTTTTTTTTGTAAAGAGGTTTAGCTGGTTCACCATATGCAGTAAAAGATTATTATGATATTAATCCAGATATAGCTGTTGACATTCCAAATCGTATAAGTGAATTTGAACAATTAGTTAAACGTACTCATGCACACGGTCTTCAGGTTATTATGGATTTTATTCCTAATCATGTTGCTAGAGAATATGGTTCTGATGTTCGACCTGATGAAGATTTTGGTATAAATGATGATCAAAAAATATCATTTAGTCCAAAGAATAATTTTTATTATATTGAACATGAAGAATTTCAAATACCAAATGTTGAACATATACCTCCATGTATTGATATATCGAAGATACCAAAATATACTGAAAGACCAGCACGTGCAACAGGTAATGATGTATTTCATTCAAGACCATTAATTACAGATTGGTTTGAAACTGCTAAATTAAATTATGGAATTGATTATGCTGCTGGTAGAAATTATTTTGATCCCCGACCACCACTTTGGGATAAACTTTTTCGAATTTTATGTTATTGGATTGACAAAGATGTTGATGGTTTTCGTTGTGATATGGTAAATTTTAAATTTATCTTCCACAAAAATTTTTTTTTTCGTATTATTAGGCAGAAATGGTTCCGGTTGATTTTTGGCATTGGTTAATAACATCGATACGTAAAACATATCCTGAACGGCGAATTATTTTTATTGCAGAAATTTATCGACCGGATTTATATGAACGTTATATTGAACAGGGTCTTTTTGATTATTTATATGATAAAGTTGGATTATATGATTGTGTACGTTGGTTATTAGAAGTAGGTTCAATTTTGGGAAACTGTAATGATATAACGCGTATTCATAATGAACAAAAACATATTGAGAAACATATGTTGAGATTTTTGGAAAATCATGATGAAATTAGGCAAGAAAAAGAAATTATTTTGTTTCAGAAGTTGATAGTAAATTTTGTATGATTTTAGACTTGCTGCAAACCAATTTGCAGGAAACCCATGGAAAGCAATACCAGCTATTGTCTGTACAGCTGTTATGCATTCTGGTCCGTTCATGATTTATTTTGGACAAGAAATTGGTGTGAATAGTGTAGGACAGAAAGGTTTTCAAGGAGATGATGGTCGAACAACGATTTTTGATTATTGGGTAATTTAAGAAAAAAAAAGCAGAGATATATTTTCCGACATGATATATTAGAAGTAGTCTTATATAGAAGTATGTAGATTTTATAAGCAGTTTTTTGTTCGAATACAGGTTGAAAAATCTTTTTTAAGTTATTCATTAAACAGAAAAGAAAAGAACATACATAAAAAAAATTTAAAAAAATTTAGAATGTATTGTTTGAACTGTATATGCATACTTTTTCAAATATCCTAAACAAAAAATCATTTGTTGCATTTTACTAATTATATATTCATATCAAAACTTTAATCATTTTTCAAGATTTCTATAAGATATTTTATTTTTCTTAGGGTATTCCTGAATTTCAAGCTTGGTATAATAATGGTGCATGTGATGGTGGCCAATTAACAGTTTCACAAAAAGGTCTCCGTTCATTCTATGAAAATCTTATCAAACTTGTTCATGATCATAAATCTTTACATTGTGTTTCATCAAAATTAATTGATTTACAATTTGCTAATCATTCATTATATGATACAAAAAAAATTTATTCTTTTATTCGATATCATGAACATGATGAGCAATTATTATTTATATTGAATTTCGATTATAACAATAGTCATGATATTGAATTAGCGATACCGAATGAAATTTTGTCATGCATTGGATTGGATATAACTAAAGTATATACACTTCAAGAAGTCTTTATTGATAGAAAACTCAAATTAGAATTGCGTGCAAATGAAAATCTACGTCTTAAACTACCAGGCAATCAAGTCTATGTGTTTCAAATACAATAATAATTCTAGTCAAGCATTTCATTTTATTGTACATATAATCCCGCTGTTATAGAGTACAAAATAAAATGTTTTCTTTTATTTCTTTTCTTCTGTTTATTTGCGTGTAAGTGACGCAATGCAACACTTTGAAAATAGTTATACCATGCAGATTTCTTTTACCATTTTCTATTGTTTGAGTATACAGCAATATATCTTTGCTGAAGATAATGTTGAATTAAATAGCAGTATCATGAATAACATTGAAAACTTTTGTTTACAGTTGTCACATGAAAATAATACTTGCTGTAAGATCCCATACTTTTTTCCTTAGAATTCTTTTTTTTTGAATATGCAAGAGAACTCATTTTTCTCATGTTCATAAATTCACCTCGAAATATCTCAAGATAATGAAATTCTACAAAGCTTATTAATGACGTATAAGTTGAGTCTTGTATTGATCGCTGAATAAGATACTTTTTCTTCGTTTATTTTATGCTGATGAAATAAAACGAAAAAAAAAACTTGACTAGTTTGCTCAATACTTTTACAAGCATTAATTCTACTTTGATTGAAAAGAAAAATATCTCATGTCTCATGTCGAAAAATACAATGTAGATAATTAAAAACTTCGAACAAAAAATATGTCTAGCTTCACGACGATTGAACAATAAAAATGATATCTTGCTGATACCGTTGAAGGACGTTGTTCAAATTAATCTAAATAAAAATGATTTTTCATTTATATAACTATCATACTTACACATGAGCATGTGAGTGCAATCTAATTTATAAAATTATTCACTTATTCAAATGATGGTTATCCTTGACTATGTTGGTGAATCTAATTGATAGGTAAAACGAATTCGATTAGTGATGTGAGTTCTTTGCAGAAGCTTTATTTTTGGTTGTAAAAATCGTGTGGTTAAAATTAGATGATATTTAACCGCTCAAGCATTTATTCAAATGCATGGAATTGCTAAAAACCTTTTTGCATAAAGGAAACAAAAATATAATCATTTAAGATCACATACAATCTTAGAAGATTCTGATCATCAGACTTCCTAAGAATCTAATAAAAAGAATCTAATAAAATTCGTGTTAGCATCTTATAGCAAGAAACATATTCAATCTTACAGTCAGATATTTGTTCACTTTCGTAAGATCGTATAGAATCTTCTTATAATTTTTCATCTGGGAGGCTATGTTTTGGAAAACACTCAAGTGAACATATCAATAACTGACAGACATATTCACAAAATATTGAATGAGTACTTCTTTACAGAAAATAAGCAAAAATTGGTTTTGATAACAATTCTTGTAATATTTTTACCTGTATGGTACTTTCTTACAGTTGATAAAAAATTGAGAGCGAAATCGGTTGAGTAATAGCTTATATGTTACTGTTCAGTTTTTTTTTCAACACCTCTCTACCTTGGCGTATGGCAAAGAAACAAAAAAAAATTAAAATGGAAGCGTTACATATGAAACACCTATTAGCCCGTAAGAAATGGTCTTCGGGCATCTTTTTTTTTTGTAAAAGTAAAGTCGACATCAACAGATAAAAAACAATACTGATTTTTCATTACGCAATGACGTTATAAATAGAGTAGTTTTATTTCAGCTCGTTGCAAAAAAGTATAATACACGAAAAATCAACTGCTGTGCCAAAACACACATCTGTTATTATTGACTTAACCAACCGTGTGTTTACCAAGCTGTTTCAGTATATGGATTAGATTAATTAAAGGTCTAGGTAGAGGAATTTTCTTCATCTGTTAATAATATATACGTGACCAATTACCAGAGTCGATTGAAATCACTTATTAACGGAGAAAATGCGTTTTCATACACTTTCCATTATACACTACAAAATAGCAACAATGAACTTTAAAAAAGGATGACTTAAAACTTTTGGTCATGAAGTTACGTATTACATGGATAGGCCTTTATATGTGCACTGAATAACAGTTTTTAAGCGATTACTATTTTGAAGTGTTATTGAAAAATGTGATGAAATATTCAGTCTTTATTTGAAACTCGCAAAAGTATAAACTCTAAAAAGATTATAATGATTCGCTAGAACTCAAAACAAAAGTAAACATTGGAAAGAAGAAAGATATAAGTATCTAATGTCTTTGTATAAAACCATGGAAGCAGTTATTTTCTAAGTCGCATCCAATTTTATGCGCTGGGGCAAGTCTGCTGACCAGGTGTATAACAACGACCATCGCAAAGCCGTTGACCTATAGCACACACGACGCCACTGATGCAAATCTGTTGAAGTGGTGTATAACATTGACCATTGCAAAGTCGTTGACCCCGACGACACACAACGCCATTGATGCAAGTGTCTTGAAGTGGTGTATAACATTTACAATTGCAAAGTCGTTGACCCCGACGACACACGACGCCATCGATGCAAATTTCTGGACGTGGTGTATAACATTGACAATTGCAAAGTTGTTGACTCCGAAGACACACGATGCCATTGATGCAAATCTCTTGAGGTGGTGTATAACAACGACCATTGCAAAGTCGTTGACCCTGACGGCACACGACACCGTTGATGCAAATCTGTTGACTGGGTTTGTAGCACTGAGCATTACACGCTCTTTCATCCGAGGCACATGTAATTGCAATTGATTCACTAATTGAATAAATGAGAAGGACGACCAGTGTCAGGATTGTTGACATTCTTGTAGCTGAAGTAACATAAACAAATAGTCTCGCATAGGGTGACTTAAAAGAAATTAGTAAAAGTTCAATTCATTTTAGTTAATATATCATGTTGGATAATTACATTTACTAGTTAAAAAGTGCTTTGTGCGTTACGTGTGCAAAATCTAGGCAAAAATTGACCAGAAAAAAGGCAAGACGTACTAGCTTTGTGAACTCGATGAGTTGTATCGAAATAAAAGATCTGGTTTCTTACCAAGTGCCACTTTACGAATTTCTCTTGAATCCTTCTCTCAAAACGTTTATAGGAGAAATGCTAGTGATAATACAAGCCTCTCACTGGAACATCTGTGATTGCCAATGAAAACAACAGTACAAGTCCGGAGAAGCAGTCTGTGTGGTACGACTTCATCTAGCAGATACATCATTAGAAGAAGCCACTCCTACTAAGGGAACGCTTAGAATAAACTAGTTAATATGAAACAGAAGATGTTATCCGAAAAATCAAACAAAATAAAGTACAAAATATTACCTGCTACTGCAAAATACATCACTATTAAAAGCAACGTTAATATATAAACCTTTGTTACTTATCAAACACCGTTTAAATACTCTCTCAGTTAAAATCCCTAAACTATCCTTTGACACAAGCAAAAGTAATTGTCCAATGATCCGTGAAGCTTATAATTGCACGAGTTTGATTGATCTTATTTTCTCCGTCGCAATTGCTTGTTGTTTGGAGTCTTACGTATCTATTTGTGCATAGATAAAAAATATATGTAAGCAAGTCACGATCGTCGTTCGATTACTCATGTAGGCATATAGCCAAGAGACGGTTTGAATTCGATTCTGTTTATTTTTTTGATTGTAACTTATCTTCACATTACATATAATAAGCAAAAAAACAAACGAACAAATCACAATACAGCTTAAAAAACCAAGCGATTTAAAAGCTACTGAAAATATCAACAAAAAAAGCAATGTTCGACAGAATTTTAGAATTGTCTAGAAGAAATACAGAGTCAATATATTGAGCAATACAGTTTAAGAAATTGTAGATTACGAGCAATTATACTTACAAGTAAAAATACATTTACAGTATTTAATTGTTCAATCTGTGTTTATTTAATAATCATTGTTGAATAATCTACATTGACTATTTTATACAAGTCAATTAAAATAACCGTAGATTGAATTTGCAAATTTTTCGTAATAGCTGTGCTATAATCCATAGTAATAGAATAATATGTAATATTTTTAACCGATTGTATTTATATCACTGAATAGACGTCAATTGTTTCCTAAAAATAAATAACAATTGCATTAAATGATGGTAGCCATATAATAACTCATAGTTTCTTGAAATTATTCACATGATTCAATAGTATCTTTTGAGAGTACTTTGAACGCTATCACAATCAGGTGCTTCAGTATGAAGAATGATTGTTTTTTGAAAGTCACGACGCAAAGAAAATAATATGTATGAAAATCAATACGACGTATTATATTCATCAATATTTTCTTTTCGTTGTTGATTCATATACTTAATACATTTTGTACAATATAATTTTAATGCTTGAACAGTGTTATGGTACATTCTTATAGCATATATCTTGATCCTCTAGTCTTTTTCTTTAATCATTCCTTTATTCGTCTGATATCTCTGATATTATCATTTCTTTTTTATTAATTTTTTTTCTGTCATCTTGATTTGCCTTTGTATTTATTTTTACTACTATTTTTATTTTTATATTCTTGCATTAGTACACATTTTTCAAAGAATAAACAGAAGGAGACAAAAATGTGCAAGTCTTTCACTGTGTTTATTGCTCTTTGAGAACATCAACACTAACAAACAGTATTTCGCTTAGGTAGATTTCACTCACTGTTGGTTACTTTTGACAAATCAGTTTTTGATAAAAATAAATAAATAGTAACAAAATCAATACATATGTCACAGATTACATGAGTATTCAATTGAGCTTGGAATGCGTTAACGAATTAGACAAAAAAAACTGTCGAATCAAAATTGTTCTTATAGTAAAAATAAAATTTTATAAACAATATGATATAATTTACTTGCACAAGATTTCATTAAAAAAATTACATTAAACACAACAAATTAAAAACTTATGAATAAGTATTTTACAGTGGGTCTCAAACTTTTAAGATCCCCGCTCTCTGTAGTTTTGACAACAACAAAGATTTCTTCAACTAAAGAAGGTTTCACTCTCAATCTAGTGTCATATCTATGGACGCATAGTAGCAGTCTACTATGTACCATATTAGTTTGAATTCGATCAATTTGCATGAATGAATAAATTTTAAAACTTTTGAGTCTCTCCTGTGTTATACTTTTTGAAGATCCATTCGAAAGAGGAGACATTCAACCATATGGTGAAAAAATAGATTGGTAAAGACTAATTTAACTTTCCAACGGTTTAAGAAAATAAATTTTAGAAAAATAAAAACCTCAAAAGTATTACTATTTAATTCGAGAAAAGTAAATTTTCGCTTTTTCAATGTAACAAAATTAAATTTAAAATATACCATTGGATAGAAAATGAAAAGTTCCATAGACTTTATATATTTTGAGAAAAGACTTTCAAGTTCTTAGTAATTGTGACAAGATATTCAAAATATCTCTTTCTCTAGAGATTATGTGAAAAATGTCTGTTTTCGTGAGAAAGGCGTATAATTTCACATAGAAAAAGCATATAATTTTTTTTCCAAGGACGTTAATAGAAAGATAGTCAAATTCTTCACATGATAGGCTATTTTTACCTTTTCGTAAATTAGCTCGAAAAATTTTGAAAACATAGTCTCATAAAGTAGTCAAAGCGATGTCGCATTCTGCTGAGAAAATAAGATATGCTCGCGATATTCGAAAAGACATATTTTCAAGTCTTTTGAAATTAACTTCTGGCAAAGAAAAATAGCCTATCTTGTGAAGAACTTAATGTTCTTTCTATTGATGTCCTTGAAAAAATATTATATGCTTTTTCTAGGTGAAATCATAGGTCTTTCTCACGAAAACAGACATTTTTCACATAATCTCTAGAGAAAGAGATATTTCGAATATCTTTTCACAATTACTAAGAACTTGAAAGTCTTTTCTCAAAATATATAAAGTCTATACAACTTTTCATTTTCTATCCAATGGTATATTTTAAATTTAATTTTGTTACATTAAAGAAGCGAAAATTTATTTTTCTAAAATTTATTTTCTTAAACCGTGGAAAAGTTAAATGAGTCTTCACCAATCTATTTTTTCAGCACATTGCTGAGTGTCTCCTCTTTCGAATGGATCTTCAAAAGAATCATTTGAGTTGGCACAGCTAGCACTAATTCAACATTTTTATATCTAGAAGAAGGGGGGCGGGGGTCTTATAATGATAACACAGGGGAGACTCAAAAGTTTTAAAATTTATTCATTCATGCTAATTGATCGAATTCAAACCAATATGGTGCATGGTAGACTGCTACTATGTGTCCATAGATCTGATACTAGATTGAGAATAAAACCTTCTGTAGTTGGAGAAATCTTTGTTGTTGTCAAAACTGGAGAGGCGGAGTCTTAACAGTTTGGGACCCCTGTATATATTTTTTTTCACCCTACTAATAAAGTAAAGTAAGTGATTCTTATTATGTATATTTCAGCTTTTTGGCTGCACTAACATATTGATTGTACGAGTTATAAATTAATTAAGGTTTGTTGTAATCAAGTATTAGGATTATAAGGATACAGGATAACATACCTGAGCAAGTACGTACTTTTTCGAGTACGAGTACAGGTATGTGAGAGTTTGTTTCTTACGACCTCACTGGAGAAAACTTAATTAGTAGTTTTAGAAGCAACGTATCAGTTTTGAGATCGAGCAATTGTTAAAATCATGAATCAAAATGTTTTAGAACACTATTTTGTATTATCAAGCGTCAAGCAATCAAATTATAACAAAACTTTATTATATTTAAGAAAAGTACACAAGTATACATATTTTGAGGTCAACGATGTGCGATGTGGACACGTTACAAAATCATTGTGAGAAAATATTCTTTCTATACGAGTTGATGTAGCTGGCACTGATAATTGTTTTAGACCAAGATCCCATAGAGAAGGATAAAGATTTATCTTGAGAAAAATTAACTTATTATCACCTCTTTTCTAATAACCAAGCATTCAAGCTGTACTAGAAGCTTTGGTTGCTCATCAAAAGAAACCTTGTTGATATCATTCAAGTAAGGAAAAAGGTAGTTTCGTTTTCTTATTCGGTCAACATTTTTTGGCAGCTTATCACAGGCACCTTGTTCAGAAATGTTTGGTTCATCAAGTTCCTCATCCTGTAACACAAAAAAGGTCAAATTTTAAAAAAATATTAATAAAGAATTATAAAGACGTTTCAATAGCTCACAATGTTACTGCAACCTGAAGGTTATCGAGTCATAACAAATAAAAACGTGCATCTAGAAGTGGCGCAATTAAGAAAAATAGGATCAGAATGACGTCGAGACATAGACTAAGAAGATAATGGCACATCAATTTCGAAATGACGAAGAAGTGCTTCACATAAAGGTACAAGAGATAAATCTGAAGAAGCACATTCACATTCATGATCAAAAAGAATATCAAGAATTGTAGAAATAACAAGAGTAACAGTAGCATAACATTCATCTTCTGTCGAAATAGTAGTTTCATTAAATAGCTCAAATAAAGAAACAAAATTTTCTAAAGTTTTTCTGTACTTAGTACTAAGAATAAGATTTTTTTTTCAAATAAGTTAAAATGGAATTGAGCACAGACGATGCAAGACTAATCAATTTCTTCACAGTTTAACATTGTGATTTTCCTCGAGTACAATTAGCTCGAGGAACACTAGAATGGTGTTCCTCAAATTGTTCAACAAATGATATACATGTATGTGCAAGTTTAATCAGATCAACTCCCTTGTTAATAGATAATAATCCAGTACCAACTGAAGGTAATAAGTAAAACATGAGAATCGTAAAAACTCTTGTTT